TTTGCAGGTCTTATCCTGGACTCACACCAGCTTTTCTAACTATAGCTTTTATAAGTATGCAAGAATTTCTCCTGTGCAGAGTATCACTTCTGCCCACTGCAAACTGACATCTAAGCTGACTCATACTTGTTGTCTCCTGAACACCTCGAGTGTGTACACAGTGGAAATGGAAGTGTTTGATTTACATTTTGCTCAGGAAGTGAACTGACCCTTGACATCACCCAGACTTACATACTCAGATTCACAGCCCCAATCCTGAAATCCATGGAGATTGGCATCTGTGGTGTAGGTTTTCATCTGCTTACAGGAATAGAAACCCCTGTCCCCAAAATAAGAGATAATCTGGTTCTTCTAAGTAATTTAGTGGTGTACCCTAGAAAACACAGGTGGTGCAATATGTGGTACTGAGGTAGTAAGGGCACCTCCCCTTTCTCATTAAAAGGTGGTTAGCAAAACTACGAATTTACTGAAGGCCACTAAAAGAATAAATGGGAATAGAAACTATATTGCTGTCCTGGTCCTTTCTTGGCTATGTCTGCTTCAACTGTCTCAGTTGCATTTTAATCTTCATTCTCCCCGCCCATGCTTCTGCAATCTTAAACTTATGTCTGTCCCCTGGCAAATGTTCTTCCTCGTTCACTTGGACTCAGGATTTTGTCTTCTGCTTGTTGCACTCAGCTGCTCCCTTGGAGTGGAGTCTACAGCTGAAATCTGGATAATGTCTGGCAACAACATTTTCTTTAGAAAGGGACTACAATAAAACTAGTCACTGACAGCTCAGTGTGCTCCATGTGGCAATTAAATAACTGACAATGGAGTTATGGCTCCTTCATTTAGTTGTAATTATTCTTTTAATTTCATTATTTCCTAATGGATAAAATGTTTAATGCCCTTAAGAGGTACATTGGCAAGGTGTTTGCTGGCAGAGCAGTCTTGCTCTGCCCCATCACTGAACTAGTTGGCTCCCAGCATTGCTGAAATACTCCTCTGCCTCTGGGGGATCAGAGAAGGGTAGGATGAGCTTGTGTGTGCTCAAAAACTGTCCTTTGAGATGGTCCCTCTGTGCCTTTTAAACCCTGTTTTAAAGCTGCTGTGTGCAAAAGGGTTTTTCAGCTTACCCCCATGCTGTCCATTGTGAAGGGATAGAATCTAAGAAAATTTTGCAGAAGGTTGTTTCACACCTGAGGAGTTGCAGCTGCACTCATCACCAGAGATTAGGAACAGGCCTGCCCTTAACAGGCCACAGCTGTGTCCAATAAGATGAGTGCTAAAAAAGAGTGGGTTAGCTGGGTGAGGAGAGAGGTGGGGTTTGTTGGCTGTGCTGAGAGGGAGTCAGTGCTGTGAGGAGCTGGCCGTGACAAATCACTGAGAAGGGATGGGAGCTTTGCAATAAGATGCCAGCAGTCCGTTACCCCAGATCTTCCCAGGGTTGGTGGGGAACCTAGGCTGGCTTGGGAAGTGCACAGCCACACTGGTAGGCACAGGAGAGTTGTGGCCCTCGTCACAGAAATGGGTTCAGCTCCCATAAATCCCATTTGCTTCACCTGCCGTTGCCAGGCTTGGGTGATGCCTCCTCCATCCCCTGGTTCCTAAGGTTAAACCCCACCAAGGGCTTCTGCCCGGGGGTGGCCCCAGCATAGCCTGGCACACACCACGGCATTCAAGCCCTGGCAGCATGCAAAACCAGTGACTTCCACGTGCTCCTCCTAAACAGGTGCCTGCACAAAGCTTGAGAGGGTGGGATAATTAAGCCATGCCATATTTAGGAGGTCACCTCTATAGCCTGGATCTCAGAAGGGTTGGTAGGCAAGGCAGGCTGACAGAGAAATAATTACAGGCTCTGCTGTGTGCACTTCTTAGTGTGAACCTTGTGGGTTTGGGGTGATGATGGTTCATGATAAAATACTCCAGTTTTCCTGCCTGCTTTTTTTCTTCCCCATGAGAAAAAAAATTTAGAAGTATCTTCAGAGCCTACTATTTCCTGCAAGAGGAAAATTTTCTGGAAATTTTCTGTAGACGAATATGTTCTGTGATGCCAGAAGTGATTTTCAGGGAAAGGTACATATGCAACTCCTGGACTAGCTTGTTGGTAGTTTTAATTTGAAAAGTTTTGGGGTTTCTTTCTAATAGTGATAGAATATTAACTTGAAGTAAAATCAGAGCAAAACCAGCCTTCTTTTGGTTGTTTTCTTGACCCTCTCCTAGTGTGCACACCTGAGCACGTATGTGTGTTGTTCATATGACCAATATTCAGCCTCCCCTCTCTTACACAAGCGCCCCATTCAGTGCTGGCTGGGGGGAGATAAGAAATCCCTTCAGGAGCAGGGGTCTGTACTTCAACAAAGGGCAAGACCATGTGTGTAACATTTGTTGTGACAATCCTTCTGAAGTGTAGCACACTGAGCCAAGGTCACCCTCGGTGTCCAGCTGAGGGGTGATGGGCTGCAGATGTCCTCTCAGATGTCCCCTCTGACCTTTAGTCAGCCCATGAGGAGGACAGGCACAAGGAGCAGGGCTGGCGACAGGCAGCCTCGTCCCTGGGCAGCGCAAAGCCGGCACAGCAAGTGGGAATGTGCCACCTTAGGGCAGCAGCTGCCCACGGGCTGCCACAGAAAGCATTCTGCAAGTGTCTCTGGTGCCATGCAGTGACTTATGAGCAAGCTGAAGTTCAGGGAACACACCTGCTGCATGAGACTTCTTTCATGTTAAAAAGACTGAGCTGGTAGAAAGAAGGAGGGAACTAGGGTAGGGAAGCAGACAAAAAGATCAGCCAAGTTCTGTGAAGGAAAGCACTGCTGTGGGAATGGCTGAGAGTCCAGCAGAACTGCCAGCACCCAGGCAGCTGCCATCGGTCACTGAGCTGAGACAGGGGACAGCAAGGCCTGGGAGCACACAGAATTCCCTCACTGCTGCCAAGCCCCCACGGGCACAGGTTCCCACTGTAAGGAAAATGTGTATGGCTTGAACAAATACTACAAACAGAGTTTGGGGAATTTCTTGGAAACCCTAGTGCTAAAGTCTACTACTTTGAATTAGTAATTGGGCTGCAAAACGTGTGTAAAGCATGATTTGAGCACTGAATGTGTCAGGCTGAACCTATGCTGATGTACTGTAGGTCAAAGCCCCTAAGAAACAGCAGGCAGTAATGAGGGCCCCATCCTTTCACTCTGCCTTATATGTGACTCTGGCTCTCCCTCATCTCACACCGGCACACACTCAATTCCTCCAACCTGTCACATTTATCTTTGAAAGTGACTTCTCTAGGAAGTGGAGTATCTCTCTTCCTCTTTCCCTCTCAGCTCAGAAGAGCCTCTTCCACAACATAATAATGAACTCAAAATCTGTTGTATATACTTGTTCCCATGATTTTATGAAAAATTCAAGCCAACTTTTACCTGCTTGCAGTGTGAGGAGAAAAGCTTGTCAAACCAATGACTGCATTTAATTTATGTTGCTTGTTTCTCCTCCTTAGAGAGAGATGTACAAAAGAAAATTCAAGAGATCAGAATAAAAAAGCATGGCTAGATAGAGGGTGGCATTAGCAACAAAATGGGAAAGGACATTTTGTTTGTGTTGCAGCAGGATCTATTTTTAAGAGCTTCATGTAGTAAAATCACTTCTGGGATTAATTTTTCTAAAAAACAATAAAAAATAATGCCCAGGCTCACTGCAGAGAGCACAAAATAGTCCACTCCAGCCACTTCAGACAGGATGTATGGAAACAATCAGCATTAGGCTGAGGTAAGAACAAATAGAGGCAACCATCTGATGACGCAAAATAACAAGAGAGAAGAGCTGAATTTTGCTCAAGTAGCTTGAAAGAGGCAGTGGCATTGGAAGGATTATTAGGGATGATAGAAGTGATGATTTGTTTGACCTAGTACCTGCCCTAAATGGTGGCCATCTCTTTGAATATGAGTATCCCATTGAATATTTGCAGAACTCTCCTTGAAACAAAAAATGTGTTCAGATCTTCTCCGGATAGGGGGAGGCTGTTGTTACTACTGAGTCAGAGCTGGGGGGAGGGATCAGATGTCATTAAGTGTTCTGGAAACATGCTCTCTCTTCAACTGGCAGGAGCATCTCAAAGTGATTGGGTTTTTCTATGTATAGCTCTAATTAAAGGTCTGTGTTTCAATTAGTCTCTTGTTTTCCTGGCCTATAATGTCATATGTCTGTCAGAACATTTTGTTTCAAGCAGAAAGCTCACCTGTAAAGGGCCAGCCAGTACATACACTGCTCTGAGCTATTTTTAGTAATAAATGAGGTGGGATTTTAAAAATTTATATGGGAATGAGGCACCCAGGTCCTAATGAAATTCACTTTGATGTCAGCATACAACCTATCAAGGAGCCTTCAAAGTGTCTCAAAGGGCAAAACACGGTAACTCTGCTTCAAATTGATTTTCAAAGGTGAGTGGTCAACTTTGTTAGAACATTTTCAGATTTAAAAAATATTATAAAATTGACATTTCCTGACTACAGAAGTCCTCACAAGCTAAAGCTCGTTACACTCAGCCTGGTGCAGGTGCCTGTTCTTGTCAAATATTGTCTCTGTTAATGAGACAGGACCCTGGTTCCCCATGGGAAAAGCCCTTTTTCCAAGTCTAAGCTGATGAAATGATGGCTCTGCAGCATGCAGTGTGTGAGCAGCCATCATTAGTGCCATTCCCTGCGAGCCCCTCTGCCCTTCATGTGCCTGACCCTTCCCTCTGTTCCCCTGCCTCTGCTTTGGGCAGGTTATCTGACCCTGTGGGTCACCACAGAACGATTTTAAGCAGCATTGCAGTAGGAGAGCAGCAGGTGACACCTGTGAGCTGAGCAGGCAAGATGGAGCAGCTGCCTGCAGGTCCATTGCTGGGAAGGGTCACAGCCCCACTTCACTGCCAAGCTTCATCTCAGGGATAAAGCAAAGTCCAAGCTGCTGCTGCTTGGCTTCTTCTGTGCTGCTTCAGAGGCTTTTGGAAGAAACTATGTATTTGACAAAGTTAAATGACACAGTAACTGAGAAATATATCTTTATTATTAGAATGTTTATATTCTAAAAACTTTGATCTGGGATTACAGTACAATCCAATTTCTTTCTAATTAACTAAACTGGCATTTGTTTAGCAAGTAAGTGTAAATTAGGCTTTGAAAAGTTTAAAAACATGCAACTTCTCTTACTCTTTTCCTCTTCCTCTCCCAAAAGGAAAACTTACAGTCAAGATTTTGGCATGATAAATAATAAAATAAACATCTCATTTGTGAAATAGTAGTTGCACTTAACTTTGGTGACTAACAGAGTAGATAGGCATTTAAAAATAAAAATATTCTTTCAGTGTAAAGTGGCTAAAGAAATGAATTAATATATATTTACTTTATTATCTTTCTAATGTTCACCTTTGTTATCTTCCAAGAGGGTCCTTTTTTTCAGGTTTGTGGAAGGATGTGGGAAGTAATACAAAAAACTGGTTCGATTTTAGCTTGCCTATAAAAGTTGTTGTAACACACAATCTGACCCAAGCCCATGCAACACAATGAACAATTCCTTTTCACCACACACAATGCCTAGCATGAAGCCAAGTGTGGCCTTGTGACATAGTTAAATAAATATTGAAATATCATTACAACCTAAATACCTGAATTGGTTTTACACTGTGACTTTCTACTGAAACAGTGTTGAGAAACTTTTAAACATACATCTGATTGTTCCATATACACTATTTAAAATAAAAGTGAGGAATAATACTCTTTCTTCTCTCTGCTACTTTCTGGGAGCTCTGTACACTGACAAATGTATGACATCTGTAGTTACCTGATCCTAGCTGACTGATTGGTCATCTTCTGCTTTAAAAATATTGCAACTCAGGTGCTTATTGCAGCAGTAATCATAGTGATACACTGTCTTTTTATACTCAGTTCTGCTTACAGACACAGTTATAAAAAATGAAAAACATTTTTCACAAATCTTTGTACACATACTGTAAAAATCACCTTCCACATAAACAATTTACATCTGTTATGAGCATTTAAAAAATAAATCACATAGACCTGTGTCATCTATCCTTTCTTTCTTGAGAAAACAAATCTCATCAGTAACATCATCAGGATGTTTATATCTGTAAACATGGCATGAGGATTCATGTCACCAAAATACTGTACACACAAAAAAGTCATCTTGATAAATAAATTCTCTAATAAATAAGGATCCTTTTAATTGGCACAAACCAGTGTAAACACACACATTTGTGTTCTGCAGTCATCTCCAACTGCCTTGCACTTGGGTTCTTAGTTCAAAGTCAGTGATCTCTCAGCCCTGTAAAGATTCTTCAGAGATAAAAATGTCAAGGATTTGGGTTACAATCATGGTTATTTGGGCCTCTCATGCCTGGGACCAAGCACAGACATTGAACACAATGGCAGGCAGTGCCACACTGCTTGAGCCTGTACTTGCTGCACCACAGCCGATCTCCTGCTGCTGGCATTGGCACTGAAACTCCTCCTCTGGCCCAGTCTGGCCTGTGAGTGTCGGGGCAGCTCCTGGATTCCTTGCTGTGGGACACCTCAGAGGAGCCCACACTTGGACCAGAGACAACATGGCTGCCAGCAGGATCAAGGAGTTTGGTGTATTTAATAAAAGATGGAAAAGTGCTTATAGCCAGAAACCCAGGGTAGCAATCTAATGCTGCAAACAGCCTTCAAGGGACTTTGAGTAGGCCTTTTGCATCTGGGTATGTCTGTTAGTCACTGATCTCACACCTACCTAAGCTGGAAGATTGAATATTTTGGTGCCGATTAAATGGATTCCTCTGAGCTTCAGGAATAACACAGATGGAAAATAATTTACCAGTTGGTTAGAGCATGCTGCCACTAAAATAATTAAACATACAGCCACAGTACTGCCCAGCAAGATAACTGCAGTCATTTAAAATAAGCTCTATAAATGACTAAATAAATAAATAAATACAGGAATAAATAGAAAAACCTCCATGTAAACTGAATAAAATGTCACTTCTTTTATAGCGGGAATGGCATAACTAAATAATATAAAGAGGGAATGGCATAACTAAATAATATAAAACTTCCATATGTATATATTTCTATATATTATATCTGATATGTTTTGGCATGGCCAGATGGATAGGAAAAAAGTAGGATGATTAACTTCATTCAATATTTGCTGTGTTGAAGCCAAGTTCCCGTGCTGCTGTACACTGCTCACCATTCCTATAGCGGCTTGGCCTTCTTACCCATCTTTGATTTTGCACTCACTTTCCTGGCAGAGCAGACTGGCTCACCCTTCTTTTGTGCTCTCCATATTTCTCTTGGGCAATCAACAGGTTCATAGAAGCATTTCACTGGCTGCAAGCTGGCTTTTTCATCCTTTGCTTTTTTCAACAAGATCCTTCCTTTTTGAAAGGAATGAGGCTTTGCATCAGGGATGTTGTATGAAGTGTGTTGACTTCCTCGGCTCCTGAAATGAATAATAGTGATTATTAATAATTGTTATTCAGTCTTGCAAACTGACAGGTCCCCAAAATATCCCAAACCCTTACATTTTTAAAAACAAAAATAGTCTTGTTTTACAGAATGAGGCTGCATGTTAAAAACAGAGTTGTAAGATTAATTACATTCCTTAGTATACAAAAGCATTCCTTACTAAAACAACCCTTAGGTGTGTTACTGGTGCACTCTTCATGTGTGTTCCTCTGCACTTTGATTCTGATCAGCACTCTGCTGATTTTGGAGGGCTGAGACCTTACTGAGGTCTATACTTGGTGATCTGCAGGGACTTTAAAGATGCACATGTTCACATTTTGCAAAGAATGAACATCCCTTGGTCTTTGGAAGACCACACAGCACCAGTAAGAGTAGAAAGAAGGTGCAGGAACTGTAGCGACTTTGTGGAATCTCAGAGTTGCCCTGGACTGCACCCAGGCCCAGGGAGCTGCTGCTACAAATGGCCAATAGCTCAGGAAACTCCATGCTCTGCCTTTGTGCTGACCACACATCCAGGGAAACTTCAGCTTCCCTTTTCGGCTTTGATTTGAAACAGGAGAAGAAGAAAGGGGAATACAAAAACTGGTGGGAAAAAGGGTATGAAAGCTTAAAGGCCAAAGTAAGCTGAATTCTTTGTTGTCTCTGTGTTGGCTCAAACCCAGCAAGATTTGCAGAAATTGGTGAGCTCAGGTGGAGTGACAGCTAAGTGCCCAGTGCTGCAAAGGCTGAACCATGCACTCTGAAATATTACATCAAAACTGCAGTTCCACAGTTAAGCTAAGATCATTATAGTCCCTTTTAACATAATCTTGAAATGTTTTACAGCAGATACATTAGTGTAACAGCAGAACTATGAATGTAAGGCACCAGCTCATGTCTACCCAGCTCCTGTGACTGAAGAACAGATGTGCTGATGTACAAGCTGATCTCTTAAGGGATCCCACAGGGCTATTTTCCATAGCCTGGTATTTCATGTATGTATAGTATTATTTCTTCTAGGAGTTAAATCATATTGCATGCTTGACAAAGCCAGTTGTGGGAAAAGCTGTGGTTACTCATGTGTGTACAGTGTAAACCCTCCTGCTCTTTAGGAAGATGAGAAGTGTGTAATGGAAGTCTGTACTTGTTGGTACAAGGCAGTGAGGGCCACCTGTCATTGTAGGAACTTAGCCTGACCTATGTAACTGCATTACCTGCTTGGCAGCTTTGCTAAGCAGATTTCACTGGGGGAGGTTTAGGGGGTGAAATGCTGTGCAGGTCCAAGCTGGAGCTTGCAGGCACTGTGTCATCCTGGCCTGTGCAGGCCTGGGCTCTGACCACTTGCTGGGGTTTAGGAATGACCTGTGTAAATTGGAGTGGCCACTCCAGTTTACCATCAATTCTTGGGAATTGTTTTTTCCAGTCCATTACTCAGTTGTTGTTTAAAGATGCAGTGGTCTGTTTGTCTCAGATGTTGTTATGGTGAAGAAGCAACATCATTTATTCCCAAAGCATACACAGGCATTATTGTAGGTGATGTTAGGCAGCCCCCTGCTGCACTGAATGAAGCTACTAAAACCAAAGGTCAAGGTCAATATGATCTCAGGGGCTACCTAAAGGGGCTAAACTGTACTTAAATTGAACTGTATGGTAGAGAAGATGGATGTCTGTCCCCAGTTCACAGTCAGAGTAAGAAAGTACCCAAGATGGAGGAAGATGCATGTGAAATGCAAAGCTGCCAGCTCCAGATGCAGGAAATGCTTTTTCACTGAAAGCAGCAGCTCTGCAACATAAGTGACTGCAGAGAGTCTGAACTTCTCCTCACACATATTCCTAATCTGTTGTGTTATGGAGAAGGACTCGTGGTGATGCAATGGGAAAAAGTCCTGAACTTGTGTCCCCACAAGGAAAGGCTGCCCTGAAGAGGGGAGCAGTGCTGGCTGCCACTTGGCCAAGCAGGACCTGGTGCTCCAAACCACCTGCTGGGACTCATGACCAAGTCACAAAGACATGGGAGACCAACCCCAATTAGTTCTGCTGCTCCCAGGACAGCTGCTTGAGTAACCTGAGATTGTCAGTGCCCATGCTTGGCCAGGGCACTTGTTTGGTGATATGATTGTTACTGCCAGTTAGGAAATGACAACTGTCTCTCTCCTACCTACAGAATGTTAAAGATATTTTCAACTTCATTTGTGTGAGACAAAGAGATTCAAATCCTGCAGCTTTGCAATAGGCTATTATAGTCAGCAGGAAGGAGTAATTTGTTTAACAGAAAATTAGCATTCTTTATTTTCTTTAGAGAATATCTGATTTTAGTTTAGTTTCAGCAGAAATCTGGTTTTCCTCAATTACATGACATAAATAGAGACCATATGCAGGTCCCAACCTATAAGGTAAAATGTAAAAACAGAAATGCAAGCACGTCAACTTATTGCATTTAAGTTAAAAAAAAAGGAGATATACATACAGGCATCTGGGTTTCTTATTTAATGAAATGTCTGTAAACTGCAATGAAAACAAAGCCAGGTTATTACTATTACATTTTCAAGTAATGAAAGTACAAGGATAAAATATACACAATCTTTAAAATTGTATTTCCATTCTCACATGTTGAACTAGAACATTCAGGGAACAAACCAAAAAAGTCACCTCTTTTACAGATTATTACTCTTCCATCTTATGAACATGGTTTTAAAATTCATAATGTGTGAGTTGCTAGTGGTTGGATTTTCCCCATTATTTTTATTGTAACTATAATCAAAGTAAATTGCTAAAGAAGTGTGGGCTGAACAGAGATCTTTCACATTAGATTAAACAGTATGGATACAATGAGAAGTAATTATTGTGTTCAAGATAATTAATAAAGGCCAGTGGCTGAATAAGCTGTATGAAATTAACTTTCTCTCAGATCCTTTAATTTTTCAGTGATACATTTCCTTTACACAAGTGGCTAGGAAACTCCAGCTACAAGCCCTTGGCTCTGCCAGACTTGCACTGAAGGGTGGAGGGTGAGGACACAAACATTTCTCTCCCCCTGCTGCAAATCCTGAGACCAGCTAAGGACAGCATAGCTTCAATGCCAGGCCAAATTTGCATGACTTCATTTTTTCAGCAGTTTGGTTCACAGTGTGGAAACACTTTGTCTAGTCCCTCTTTTGGTGGGGGTCAGAAAAGGAGGTGTTTAATGCCAGCTCAGCTTAAATTGATTTTTTTTTTTTGGGACTAAATAGGTTCTTTGTATTGCGCTCTCATCAGAGCTGCTACACTGAGCCTTTGAATATCATTTAATGAAGTCACTGAGACAAGTAAGTCAGATTTGGCATCTGAAAATGATTATGTTCTTGTAAATGTTCCTTCTCTCCCTGGTATTGTCCACACTTTGCAGATGGATTTTTGCCCAGCCTGACTTGGCTTGTCATCTGTCTTGGTTGGTGTCTGGAGCCATCTCATGGTGGACTTTCCTGTACCTCCTGAAGGTCAGGATGGTCAATATTTGGATGGATGGCCTTAGAGCAATGCTGAAGTCACCCAGAAAGCAGGGCAGGTACCTTAAAAATCAGAGCCCTCCCCAAGGGACAGTGCTGAGCCTGGCATTATGATAAACACATCCAGAGCAAGAGAGGTGATTTAATATTGAGGCCCATCTGTACAGTGCCCCATAATCTTCTCACAGATACTGTCTGAGATGCCTGCACTGCATTTCAGCTCATCTTACCTAAAGCTCTGGGAACATTTCCTTTCCACCACTGCATACCTGTTCAGTGCTGGGCATCATCAAATGCCTTCTTCTCACATGCCAGGCTGAGCAACTACTAAGCACAGGCAGCATGGGGTATTCAATTAAACTGAAATGTTCTTTCAAGTCCTGTGCCTAAAACTTGGCATATAAATGTAATGCATTGTAGGAAAATACTGAGTTTAGGTATTAAAAATGAGGGCTTTAAGAGAAATAATGTATTTTAAAAAGTAATGTTCTTGGATTTCTAATCCATGGGATACAGGCCTGTGGGAATCCATTCACCATTTCTAAGAGTACCATGATAGGTAAACTAGCAGAGGCAAGATGATTTGCCAGCAAGCTGATGTGTCACCTATAGGGATCTGTGTCTTTCCTGAAAATCTTCAGGCTTCCCAAAAAGACTGCCAAGTCACTTTTAAAAAAGTGTTCATGGCAAAGGCAAGAGCAGCAATAGCCAAAGCTGAAAAAAATTTAAATATGTATCAAACATTTCATTACTCTCTGCTCTCCCTTTATCGTCTTTGGCTGTTGCTGCTTTCACAAATGCACATCTGCCTGCAGCAGTGCTTAGCCTGAGCCACCAAGCCCACCCATAACCCAACTCTGGCAAAGGGAAGGGCAGTGCTGGCTTACCACGTGCTCGCTGATGTCAGTGTGGTTGCACACCATCTGCTGGCTTTGGTAATATTCCAGCTGCCTCTCTGCCAGATCCACGCGCTGCAACAGGTTCTCGATGAAGTGCTGCAGCCTGGCTTTCCCCCGCACTTCTTTTTCTGCTGCTTCTTCCAGGAAGTGGTTGAAAGTAACAACTTCTCTGCAAGATGGAAACATTGCAAGGAGGCCACGTTTAGATAACAGCAGCTCACTGGTCTCACCGATGTCAAAAATGACTGGTGCTTCTCCAGTTTGTCATGGAGTGGCTAATTACTGTCCTCCACCACTGTCAAAAGATTTCAACTTTTTTGTGGACAAAGTGAAGATCTGGAACCCTGAATGCTGAATTTAGGTTCATGGGCAGTGGGTTTGGGGTGAGGTTTTTTTATTTCATTTGGTCTCTTGGAATTAGTCTTTAGTGGCCCACAGGGCAGAAATATGATTAAGCATCACATCTCAAAGTATCTGGAGACAGCTGTATCTGCTTTCTCTTTTTTTATTCAACTATGAGAATATTAGCTCTGAAATGTGAAGAGAAACAGATGAACTCCCAAATTAATCTTTTCATTTCATCACAATCTAACAATGGTCACTTAATGTTGCTGCTGGGGTGGTTTCTAACTCAAAAGAACTTCTGTGGCCATTGAATTTAATTTTGACTGCATTACTACAAGAATGTCCAAGTTGGTGTTATGACCTGGAGGCAGAGGGAGCATGGGAGATTAACAGATAATCTACAGATTATAGAGCAGGGAGCACATGTGTGGGAAGAACAAGTTTTAGGTGAGGAGTTTAGGAATGTGTCTTGGTGTCCTGTCTGGTAACCCAACTGGAAGAAACAGAGAGCACCAGTGACTGTGAAAGCTCTCAGCTGAGCCACTGCTCATTTCTAAGTTCTCTGCATACTTACTATCAGTAATCAGGACACCACCTGGACCTCCCATGTCAAAGGATTATTTTGGTGGAAGAAGTTTGGTTGTAGATTGAAGCACGTATTACAAAAGAAGACAAATCTGAACATGTAGCAGTTCCCTGTTTAATAAATGCCTGGATAAATATTTCTTACTCTGCCAGGGAAGCCATGATAATTTTCGCTTTGTACAAAAAGGGTGGGAGTTGAAGGAACTTGCCAAATGAGAAAGGGCATGATTGCTCAGTAGAAATACATTGCCTGAGGAAAAAGCATTTTAAGTAGAAACTATGAAACAGTTTGTGGCAGAAATAACCTTTCAAAGCTTAGATTGTTTATAACAAATCCAAAGTTTCTCTGCATTTTGTTGTTTTAACTCAGCATAGTTGCAGTTAATTGGTTTAATGGAGTATAGTTGTTTCAACAGTGAGCTGCTTTGTGCTAAGAGTCAGGCATGAGTGGTCAGCCCTGGAAATTCACCACCTAGGATTCAGGCTGTGCCTGCCTGCTCCATACTCCAGCAGAGTTCTGTTTGCATGGCTGATCTAATGGCAGGAATCAGGTAAAAACAAGCATGTATTGTTTGGATGAAGAATGTGGATGAGTAATAGTTTATACTAACTCACCCATAAAATCTGGCTTAAGAAACAGAGAGGTAATTTGTTTGTTAAACTCAGCTAATCCATTTCATTTCAAGGCTCTGAACAGTTTAGTGATTATTAGCTTGCCCAGAACAACCTGATACTAGAGAGCCACTAAGGAATGCTTAGGGAGAAGCCAACCTGAACTCATTAAAGTAGATTTTAGGGCTTTGTTGTCACCACACTAACTTCTTTGACTTCATAACTTATGATTAACTTCATTAGTCAGTTCATATAATTTTGGGTTAATGTAGGAGCAACTGAAGTCCTTGCTGTTTCATCAGGGTCCTCTTTTACAGGGGACAGGGAGTTCAAGAGGACAGCAACTGAGCAGGTTGGCTCCAAATCCCTCTCCTTTTGGGTAAGAAAGAGCTGTGCACAGCCTGGCAGGCTGCTGACCCCCCAGTGGGAAGGTGGGAGAGTGGGGAGCTGCCAGCCTGGGACACCATGAGCATGTCCCTCCCTCCCAGGGACTCAGTCAGCTTCTGAGTTTGGCTGCAGCAGGAGGCCACAAACATGAGAAGCTGGCATTTTTTTAAAAGAATGATAGTTTCAAGAATGTTAACATTTGTAATTATCTCAGCAAAGGTAATTAGTAAGAATTCATTAGTTGCCTGTTCTATGGCACAAATAATCACGAAGGGATTTTCCTTTCCTACAAATGTCTCATTAATATACCATAAGGAGACCAGGGGGGAGCAGAGTTTTTTCAGGAAGATCTAGATGACTGTCAGGAGGAGAAGAGACTCATAATGTCAATAAACTCCCTAGTATTGTCCTTGCTTTCTAGACTAAAGATAACTTGGCATCCTACATGCCATTATTTGTAAGAACTGTTATTGGCAGCGATAGTAGCATACCCATAACTTCTCTCTGTTTAGCTGCCTTTGTACAGCCCATGTACCTACCTTTAATAACTTTAATCTGAAAGTTTTCCTTTGGGCTGAAATACACTCTGTAAATTCCCTTTGGAAAGCCAGGAGCCAGAACACACCCACACAGCAGGGCTCTGTCACACACCTTGCACTGATAAGCAGCACTTCTGTTAGTTCAGCTACTTTCTTTGTTTCCAATTCATTCTCATCTCTCAGAAGAACAAGATCAAGCCCTAAGGAGTGACTGCTAATAAGTCTCTCTACTTGCTCCAACACTTCTTCCTCAGAGAGCTCACTCCTTGCCCAGCTATGCCTTGGTTACCTGAAGGGAGTTCCCAGAAGAATTTTTAGCCTCCTCCCACTGTGAACAATAGGGAAATGGTTCAAAGAACTCCTGTAGCTTCCTGCAGCTGCTGTTTATCTGTCTAATTGCCCTTCTTGTCTCTTGTAGTTTGCCCAGACTTTTTCTTAACCATACTGAGGGCCCTTTCCCTTCAATTTTATTTCTGGATATCTGTGATAGTTTTTTTTTTTTTTTTTTTTTTATACTCTTATACTCTTTATTTTACTTTCAATTTATTTC